CCTTTGGGACCTTCATTTGTTGGTGTGGCAAAACTCAGAATGAGAAGTAAACATCATGGTTGGTAAAGTAGAGGGTCAGTGAAAATGAGGAAAAGCCTCAATGAATGGCTTGACACAATAGCCAAAACAATGGACTCGAACATAGCAATGATCACAAAGATGGTTCAGGACTGGGCAACATTTCATTCATTTATCCATAAGGTCATTATAAGATGGAGCCAACTCAACAGCACATAACAATGACAACAGGTGATTCCAACGGCAGTCACATTTGATATTGCCAATCTCTAGACACTAACTTTTATCTTTCTGCATTCTTTCTGATACTGAGTTATCGCAGCCAATCTCCAAAACACTGCCTGGGAGGTGTGTAGGCCAACCACGCCTGCACCACTTTGATGAGACACAAAATTGAGGTTGACTATTTGGGGCCATACTATGATAACTCTTTTTTGTTGAAATTCGTGTTTATTTTCTTTACTTCCCAAAATAACCATGCAATGTAGTTATTGTCATCTCAGTTTGTAGAAACAAGAACAAACAGGCTACCTGAGTCAGCGGTAGCTGCCTAAACAAGGAAGGAATGACTCCTAGTCTGAATGACACCAAAGCTGATGACCTCTGCCCTAGACAAAAGTGTGGTCACCAGACCAGTAGCACTCAGCGTCACGTGAGAACCTGTAAGAAATGAGAATTCTCTGCCCCAGTCGTACACCTACTAAGTCATAAACTTGAGGTTGGAGCCCAGGAATCTGGGTTGCAATAAGCCCTTCATGTATGAATCAGATTTATGCTAAGAGTTGAGAAGCACTGTGCTATACTCTTCCCCATCTCTGTCACCTGTCTACTTGCAGAGACTCAGTTTAGCACGTGGCAAGAGAGATGAAGGTGTGTGGATGACTCAGTGAAGTAAGACAGACTGAAGGGCTGAGAAATGTTCTCTACCTTCCCTTTCTCTAATCCCATATTTGTTTTAACACTCTATGTTGAAAATTAGGGGGAAAGCTATCAGGGATATGGCATTGAAAAAAAATTGGTGATCCTTAGAATCTTTACTTGCAGAGGTTCCTGGGCATATTGAGTCACTTTCATATGAGTGTGACTGATTTAAGATGTTGATGGTTTCTCTTTTTAATCAAAATATGGAGTGTTTTAAAAGTTTTCATTAAAAATGAATACCTCAACTGTTTCCAGGGAAATTATTTTTTGATCTTAAGGGTTTTGCGATAATTGGTGTTCAGGAAATAAGGGTAGTTGGTTTGTTAAGCTGGTGCAGATTGCTGTTATCTGTAAGTCAGGGGTGCTGCTGACCTACTTTAGTTTCTCTCTTACTAGATTTTAGGCACATTTATTAGAGTTGTACATTTGACTAGAGGAAAACAAAAATTTAAAGACCACGCGTATTTGATTTATCAGAGACATCGATGTAATTTTCTGAGCAAATTTTAAAGTCAGAAGTATATAAAAATGTTTTGGGCACATTCAGAGCTGATAGAAATTTATCCAATGGGGAAAGAAAGACAGAGGAGGCAATAAAGAGAGGAAAGGGAAAAATAGGGAAAGAGGAAGGAAGGGGAGAAGCTAAAAGAGAGAGAACAGGAATTGATGGAAGAGACAAAGAAGGTAGAGCAAGGAGAGAGAGAGAGGAGGGAAAGAAGAAATAGAGAAGGAATCAGAAGGATAGAAAATGGAAAGAAAAGAGGCCAGAAAAGAGGGAAAGGGAAAACAAGAAAGAAGAGAAGAAGAGAGAATCAGTAGGCAAAAAAAAAAAAAGAAAGCAATGCATGCTGACTTCAGAGCCTGGGCAATTTATTGTGAAGTGCCACTTGTACGAGACGTGCAGAGATGCTGGCTCCGAAGGTTAATGATGGCAGTAATCATAATTCCAATTTGCAACAAATGGGATGAAAGGCAGTCAGACCTCATACAGAGAAACCCTACAGACAGGGCAGTGGAATAATAACAGAGCAGCGGTTGAAAACACAGGGATGCTGGGAGGTTGGATTAAGTTTTCCTTTATTTGAGAACCATTTTGTGACGCACAATCCAATGATAAAAAGAAAAAAAAGTTTGTTTATTAAAAGATCTCTGAATTAGAGTAAAGGAGTTTAAATGTTCAAAAGAACACATTCATAGTTTTGTTCATGATTAGCTTTCTCTCAGCATTAACTTTTGGCTAAAACTTGTTCTTTTACCAAACCCAAACCAAACCCATTGCCATCAAGTCAATTCCGACTCATAGTGACCCTATGGGACAGAGTAGAACTACCCCAGAGGGTTTCCAAGGAGCGGCTGGTGGATTCGAACTGCCCACCTATTGGTTAGCAGCCAATCTCTTAACACACCTCCTCTTTTTCTGCATCTTTGCTGCCGCCAGTAGCCAGTACAGCTGTGTCAGTTTAAAAAAGCAGTTGCAGTTGAGTTTCAACTCCTGGTAGCTCCATGTGTGTCAGAGTAGAACCATACTCCATAGAATTTTCAATGGTTGATTTTTCAGAAGTAGATCACCAGGCCTTTCTTCCTAGGTGACTTTGGGTGAACTCAAACCTCCAACCTTACAGTTAGCAGCCGAGCAGGTTAACTGTTGGGACTCTGTGTCAATTTGATTGTTTTCTCTGAAGCCAGCAGACCCTTTGTAGTATGGGCATAACTGACAATGCTTTAACCTAGTTTTCAAAGCCCTAGTTTTCAAATATCCTTTATGCATATTTAATTATATGTACAACGTTGTTATATTACACATCAATATTCCTTTTAATGAGAGTCCTATCTGTGCGTGGGCAACTCCATTTACATCTTCATTTATATCTTCCTCCTACCCCCACCAAGGCCTGAGTATTAGCAGATGACCAAGTGTCTGAGGAGGAAGGAAGCTGCTCCACTTAATAGGGGGAGAGAAATTTAGAAAGCCCGGGACAAGGAGTGGAGTGAAGAACAGAGACAAGATATGGAGATGTTCCATGGAGTCACAGAGCTGGTGGAAGAATTTATGCTAAAGGTATGATAATAAAATCAAACCCATCACTGTGGAGTCGATTCCGACTCATGACGGAACCCTATAAAACTATTTTGAAAAGTCAACTTGAGTTACAAATTGTCTGAGCAAATTTTTGTTGTGGAAACCAAAGAAGAGGCTGAGTTTCCTGTCTCGTCTGCATGAGGTTGGACCGAGACATCATTTGAGGTGGTCAGCTTTGAAGAGGCTAGAACTAGCAGAAATCTTTAAACACCATAGATTTTTGAGGGCTCTTAGGGGGTGGGCTCGAGGATGGGTGAAAGCAATTTCGTGTGGACCTCAAGGGGCACCTATAGCAACTATGGTTTACATATGTGTGCTTAAGAACGTAATAACTGTGGGGACATGTATGCCAATTGACATCGTTTCATACTGAGATTATGATACTTTCATGTGTCATTAGTTACTTTTCTTTAGTAGTAAGAATGAATTGTTTTCAAATAAATTAATGACAGCAAGTCTTCTTTCCCCATTCAGACTGTAAGCTCCTTGAGGACACAAAGCATATCATGTAAGACTTTTGAATGATGAACAAATTTGAACAAGGAATGAGGAGCCCTACTGGCACAGTGGTTAATAGCTTGGCTGTAACCAAAATGTTGGCAGTTCAAATCCACCAGCGCACTTTAGAAATGCTATGGGACAGTTCTATTCTGTCCTGTAGGATGGCGATGAATAGGAATTGATTCAACGGCAGCAAGTTTTTTTTTTTTTGTAATGAGGGTATCATCTCAGGCTTTTGAATAACTCCCATCATCTAGCTCAGTACTGAGCACATACCATGTATTCAGGAAGAGTGTGTCCCTGATACATTGCCCTGGATTTACCCACTGTCTCTCACCTCCACCCTCTGACAGGCAAGGGCTATGATCCCTTTTGAAGGCGCCTAACTCAGAAGACTACCACCTGCCTGTCAGTTTGTGGTGCTGTGGTGGCGTACACGTTGCTCTGATGCTGAAAGCTATGCCACTGGTATTCCAAATACTATCAGGGTCACCCATGGTGGACAAGGCTCAGCAGAACATCCAGACCAAGGAAGACTAGGTAGAAAGGCCTGGTGAGCACCTTCTGAAAATTAGCCAATGCAAACATTATGAATCATAACATAATATTGTTCAATATAGTTCTGGAAGATGAGCTGCCTGTGTTGGAAAGCACTCAAAATACACAGTGGCCGCAACAATGGACCTGAGCATACTAACGGTCTAGAGATGCACAGACCGGGCAACATTTCGTTTTATTGTATATGGGGTTGTCATGAGTCAGAGCCAACTCAGTGGCAACTAACAACAACAACTCTCAGAAGAGAAGATGATATGTGCACTTGGACTGCAGAGAACCACATGCAGGGACTGCCTACAGAAGACTCCTGCGGTTTAGACTCATTGGCAGCCAGGTCTTCTAGAGACTATAAAACCTATAGTAACTTTTCTCCAAGGCCAAGAATAGAGTTCCTTGATGAGCCCCAATCCATATTCAAGGAATTTGCCCACAAACACCAGATTACAGTTCAGAAATGAAGACACAAGTGGAACTGATTGAAATATATCATCATAACTGAAAAAGAAAGAAAAAAAAAAATCCCAGTAAGTATGTACTGAATTGAGTAAACATTTTTGAGTATTTGTCCTTGTTAGGAGCCCTGGTGGTACAGTGGTTAAGAGTGCAGCTGCTAACCAAAAGGTCAGCAGTTTGAATCCACCAGGCGCTCTTTGGAAACTGTATGGGGCAGTTCTACTCTGTCCTATAGGTCCCTAAGAGTTCGGTTTGTCCTTGTTTAATACGCAACTACATTATACCAGCACTGGTGTGCCAAAGTGAATCAGATCCCAAATGCATATTAACTATATTCACATCCAAGAAAAGATTGGTTGGTGCACATATCATGGGGGTCTCACAGACAGTATGTTTCCCCTCTTTACCTTCCACTTCTTAAAGTTTTTCTAAGGACCATGTGCAGGTAAAGTCAAAAGAAAGTTCTTACATTCTTAAATCCTCTGTAAAGAATCTGGAGCTCCTTCTTGGTAAATTTGCTCTGGGCTTCCAGAAGCTCAAGAGCCTCAGGCCGATGCCTGACGGTGGCCATTTCGAGTTCATCTTCCACGCTGTCTGTGGAGGAAAACCAAAAAGTACCATAAGAATAGTTGCTGCTTGCCTATGCTTATACACATAGCACAGGGAACTAGGAAGAAATGTTAACAAGATCACTGTGATATTTCCACAGTGGGAGAATTCTCACATTGGCAATCATGGTCTTTAAGTTTCTCAGATATTATGTTATTAAGCCAAGACAATTGTACATAAAATTTTCCTTGCACGTTCTAGTCATTACTGTAGACATAACAATTCTAACACATTCACAGTATAGTTTGAATAGTGCAAATAATCACCAGCAAACTTAGAACCTGGCATTTGTGTGCATGACCCAAGCATTGGTAACAAAATGGAGTTGTGGTTTAATAATGAGTGCAACCCTATGTATTATGCAACTACTAGATGAAACTCTGGTAGTGCTCTCGGAGGATTCAACTAAAACCAGATATTCTGCCTGGAGTCACAAACAAGAGTAGTCAGGTCGGGTACTGACAGGGGTCAAGTAACCAGTCTCCATGGGTGCACACTGGATGGATTGAGGCCTTGGGAAACTTCTAGTAGGCTCTTCTTTGCACCCAGGGAGTATATAGCTATAGACAAGTTATGAAATATTGTACTTTGTGAATTATATTTACACTGGAATTTCTCAAAGATGCCCTATGTGAAAAGAATTTTGTGTCCACATATGTTTCAGAAATGTTGTCAACTATAGCTTACATTTGGAGCAAAACATTGCCATATAAAGCTTTTGAGAAGTTCCACAGCAAAGAATCCTGTTTAACTTGTTTAACCCAATAGATCCCACATGTTTTTCCATAGAATCCTCCCTCTCCCCAAAGTAACATCAATTAACATCTGCACTTTTGACCTAGGATCAGGCACAACACAATTTGGCAGGATTTGGGGGATATATAAGGATCTGGGTCCCCAGAGTCTCTGCAGTGGGCCAAGATGGAGGCCTAAGGAAATTTTCTCTGCCATAGTCCAGTCCACTCCTCAGCTGAGGAACTCAGCAGTAACAAAAGCAACCAGGCCCAGTACTGCATCCATGGCCTTCCTCCAATAGTATCTCTTTCCTCTTGGCTACAGATTTCTGACTCAGAGTGAGACTAAAGAGGAACACCTACTTCTTAACTTCTCTGGTCATAGGACCACTAAGACCTTTAATCTCATGTCCTACAGGACAGTTGGAAATGTAGTCATCTTTGCAAAACACCCTACCACTTCTGACACTAATAATACTGCCTCCCAGTAACATCTTAACATACTTAGTGCTGTGTCTCACTGAGGACATTGAGGACATCAGGGAAAAGAAGGTAAGTGGAGCTCTAATCTTGGCCTGTACTAATCACTGCCCTCGAAGAGTTTACAAAAGTCCAGTAATGGCTATGAAACAAATACTTGGAATGGTGTATTTTGTCAAAATGAGTCACAGGAGATAAAAACACAATTGTATTTTTCAGATTATGATAATTTACTTGGGAGCAGTGATAATGGAAAAGTTGCAGGATGGTAATGGATGGATAAAAAATAATAGAAAATGATGTGAAAAGATGTGAAGGCCAAGAATAAAATCTGAACCAACAAAGATAAAGTTGATGAGAAAGGAAGTGGGGTGTGTATTTAAAGGATGTGACAGGAAGGACTAAAAGTAGATGGGAATAGGCAGCCATGAATTAACAAGTTGACCTCAAGCTGTGCTTTATGGGGAAAAGAAAAAAAGAAAAAAAAAGCTGAAAGAGGCCCGTTAAGTTTTCTTCTTAGTTTTTTCTAAATGAATGAGTTGATTCTACTCAATGGGTCCTAAGTTAGACAGGATAAAAGAAGTTGATGCTCCATAAGACTGCTGTTGATCCAACGAATTGAACTACGTTGTAGTTATTGGCAGTTGCCAGTGTAGAAATAAATGCCACAGAACAGACCCAAGGGAAGACCCAAAGTACTAACAAATAGAAAGCCTTTGCTAAAAAGTTCTGATACAAACTTCTTTTGAATCACTTACAGTACAATTCCTTCAGCCTGAAATGTCCCTTTTCTCCTTTTCCATCTGTTGAAGATGTACATATCTTTAATGATCTAATCAAATATCATCATCTCCTTTCTGAAACCTTTCTGGATTATCCCATTATGCAGAACCAATGGTTTTCTGTGACAGTTCTTGCAGCCTGTCTCTCAGACAGCATGTATTACATGGCATCACGATCTGTTTATGTTTGTCTTTTCCATGTGATAACAGCAGTGTCTTATATATCTGTATATTCTCTGGATTTAATATAGAGTCTTATAACTCATAGTCAATCAAGAATTATTTAGTGAATGAATGAATAAATAAACAAATAAATGTTGCTGCTACTTCTGGAAGACCATCTACTAAAGATTCCATTCCTCTGAAGCTCCTTGAACATTATCTGACACCTAGGGAAATATTTTTAGAGAATTTTGGACCCATGGTGGACCTTAAATGTCTTCTTTAGAATCATTGTGTTCTCTAGCCATTGTTCTGAGAAACACACTGTAGGCAAAAGTAGAGGAAATTGTAAACAGATTTTCTGAGCAGTCTTTCAATCACAGCATAACCTCCTCTAGACCTAATGACCCTTCCATGGGAGGAAAACAAAGCAGCACATTAACTTCTTGGCCTTTGCACCAGACAGCAGTCTGAACCACCCTATCAACAGTTTTCTCCCTCTAGCCTTGCAGATGCCTAGTCTGAGACAAAAGACCTCATTGCTCAAGGGTCAGTATAACTGAATAAAGTGTGCTCGATAGGATGATCATTACATGCAATATTCAAAGAGAACCACACTTGAAGTGTCTGTCTGTGGGCACGCTTGATTTCCCAGCTGATTGGTACCTTACTTCCTAATGACTCCTACCTGCCAAAAGGCTGTTTCTATTTCCAGGAGGATGACAGGCTCTAAAAACACACCTGAAATCATCAGCAATCACCAGCATATGAAAAGTTAAAAAAGAAACATCATCGAACCCAATAAAGACTGATTCCTGAAGGCTATCTCTATAGGGATCACAGCACCAAAACAAAACAAGACTGTAAAATTCATATTGTGATTCAACTACAGGTTAAGAGCATGCATTCTGGGGGATTTTAATATAGTGCCTCACATTTATTGATTTCCTGCTATATACAAGGAGATAAGGTGCTTTATAGACACATTAACCCCATGAGGTGGTACAATTATCCATTTTGGACATATGTAGAAACTGAGTCTCATACCCATTGCCATCGAGTTGATTCTGGCTTATAGGGACCCTATAGGACAGACTAGAACTGCCCCACAGTGTTTCCAAGGAGCAGCTGGTGGATTCAAACTGCCAACCTTTTGGTTAGCAGCCGAACACTTATCCACTGCACCACCAGGGATCCCTGAGTCTCACAGAAGTGAAGAAATTTATGGCCAGATGTCACAGACGATGAAAGACAGGACCACATTCATACCCAAGTCTTTGATGTCAAAGCTTATGTTTTTTCCACTTTGCCATGCTCTCGCTCAATAACAATAGAAATAACGATAAAGACTGAAACAGTCTCTCTCCTCTCCTGCACTCTCAAACTTCTCAGAAGAGTTGATTGTATCCATGGGGACCCTTCCCTACCTTCTGCTTTCCCCTTAATTTACCGCAATTTGACTTCTGGCCCCATCACAAAACATTGTAACTAAGGTCACCAATGATCTTCATGCTATAATCCAATGGTATTCTTTAGTTATCTCCTTATTTTATTCCTCAGAATATGTTAACACCATTAACCACTCATACCTTAAACACTTGCTTCCTTTGACTAGCTCCTGTGAGGTAATACTCATAGTTTTCTTCCTCCGGCCACATGTCCATATTGCTTTTAAATATTGGATTTCCTTAAGACTCATCCTTACCTTGGCCCACTTGTCACTCTGTACCCTAATCCCAGGTTATTCATTCCCATCCAATGACTCAATGCTCAGTAAGCTCCACCTACAGTCAAACAACTGGCAACAATTAAAAAAGCAGATGCTTTTACTCATGGAGTTTGCCCAGTGAGTGCTGGGATGTTTGCTAGCCAATTAAATCCTTTAATCTTCACAACATCCTTCAAGTGAGAAATTACAGATGAGAACGTTGAGGCTTGGAGAATCTAAATAATTTGTCTAAGATCAAATGGCTAGTTAGGAAAGAATCAGGCAGGTGTCTTTAGCACCCTAAACTCCAGGTTTATAAGCACGATGCTGAGATTGTTAATAAAAATCACCACCATATAAAAAGCTTTTGCTCTAAGCCTGGTTGTATATTATCTCACTTTAATACTGACAACAATCCCGTGAGTTATCTATTACTGCCTTTGTTTTCTACAGAATAAACTGTGACTTACAGAGCTTAAATAACTTACTCAAGGTCACACAGCTAGCGAGTGGCAGAGACAGGATTTGATCCTTTTGACACCAAATATCACAAGCTTAGTCAATGTGCTATTTTAAGAGATGGTAACAGTTATATTTTTTGGTCCAAAATATCAGGGGATAAAAAAAAAATTTACACCACAAGTGAGCCAGCCACTGAATTCCCACTACCTCAACTTTTCCTGGGGAAATGTGCCTGGGTGCCTTGGCACAGACGATGATGAGCTGATTCAAAACCCATGGTATAATAAGATGGACACTCAGCACTGAGAGAAGTGCAGAAGTTCATTTGCTTTTTTGCATCTTACCACTGAGAAATTTAGGTTCAAGGAGGCTGAGTCATTTTTCTAGGATTAAAACCAGAATCAGGTGGGATTCTGCCTCCTAAATCCCTGTCTGGGTCTTAGCCATCCTGTAACCACACAAGCGTCTTGTTGAGGAGCTAACTGAAATAGGGCATCTGCATTCTGAGACAAGCTGAATACAAATAGTATTTTAATTCATGTATCTTCTGACAGATTCAGACAATCAGACAACAAATCCCCAAACCCAGACACCTTGAGCTTCCTGGCTCTCTTTCTTTTTGTTGTTTCTTAGATTTAAGTCTCTCAGGACCGAGGT